TGATTTTTGAGATTATGTGCATCAAACGCCAAACCGTATGGCATTTTAGAAGGCCAAATGTTAACGCTTTAAAACCGCAAAAGGGCGAGAAGATATATAAAATTTAAATTGTTATTTTGGTTGTATGAAATCTAAAGCTCAGAACTTTTTTGTACACCATGAAAAATTTCCTCTAGTATTAAATATAGCATATGAATACAGACTACAAATCCTATCTTTATTTTATATTTTAACATTTATGCACGTAAATGTGTAAGTATATAAATATGTAAATGTATAATATACATATAGGGGAACCTGGGGTATAATGGTTATAGTTAGATTTTTTCAAGTTTTAAACATATTAAAGATAAATAAATCAACTTTGTTATATATTAAAATATTTTTTGAAGTATTTACTATAAGGAAAACTTAAGTTTTACTGCAAACGTATAGATTAACAGGACGAAATTATTGTTTTGTGAGAGTGTGTCGTAACCTCACTATATCATTTATACAGGGCATAATGGGGCACCACAGAAAACCTTGTCTATTTTTAAAAAATTAATATTGAACATTGCTTAAAAGTGACTTAGAACATATAATACTATATAAGTAAAAATACATTGTTGCACTTTTAATTTTTAATTTTTTATTAATAATTCTATATGTGATGCTGAGTGATACATTATACAAGGTATACTGTTATTATATTGAACATAAATAAAAATGTTTAAGAAGATAATACAAATAAAATAATTCTCATCATTTTTATCTACGCTTGCACATGAATCATAAACTCATTTTAAACATAAAATAACACCAGTACACCATTATGCCTCGAAGTATATAAATTTACTTTAGATAATATAAAATATTACAGATAATCAATATATTTGTATAGATTTTACTAAAGTAACAAGAAAAGATTATATAATAAGATAAATGTACTTATGACAATAAAAAATAGAATTTTGTTATTGCTTACCTTATGCGAACATACCAAAGAATCTGTACTCATTCGCGGACAGTAAAGCGAACACATTAAACAATTTTTAGCAATTTTCAGGTAAAAATAATATGACAACTAATAACAATATATAATATAATAAGATACATCTAACAGTAACTATTGTCTGACAATTAATTACATATTAGCATATCTGTAAAAAAATATCGAGTACATCCCATTATACCCCATGGTTTCATTATACTTCAGGTTCCCCTATTCACTATATATAACAAATATATGTACATTATTAAATATATGTACTATATATAAAAAATATATTTTGAAGAAATATTTTCTTTTCCGCATGTGCGACGCCACTTTTCGAAAAATATTAGATCTTTTAGAAAAGAAAATAACTTAATTGAATTTCCAATTTCTTTTTGGTTTTCGCCAAATAATTTCTATATCCTTTTACGTACATTACAAGTCATTTTATATATTTGCGGAAAAATAATTACATAAAAATTAATTATTTCATTGAAATATTCGAAAAACTTATGTCATTGAATCACGGTCGATTTGTTCCGACTCTATATGTATGGCTGTGGTTCACTTGACGCTATACAAACACTTCGAAGCATTCTTTGATTAGTCAATTCATAAAATTCTTTGTTCTGATTGGTCGCTCAAACGTTTCGAAGCGTTTGTAGCGTCAAGTGGACCGCAGCCTATGACGTAAGCTTAAACAAAAGTGGTGGGAATGCGCAGTGGTCTGACACGATACGAGTATACCCTTGTCTTTATATCATGTTGCAATCGGCTTGCGTCTAAT